CAGGAACCTTGAATAGTCTTGTACCAGCACCCTCCAACAGGTCACCACCCCGCCACTTTTAAGTCTCCAAAAGCCACCAGAGGAGACCTGTTGGAGGGTGCTGGTATATATCATGTCAGTATCTTAGAAGAGAAACACCACGTCCGGCAGCAGAAGGTCCGGCTATCTCGGTCCATCTCTCTCTCTCTCTCTCCGTCGGACTCCCGCGTAGCCCAACTCCGTTCAGATGCGACGCCCAAGCGTGGTTGGATTCCCATGTATATGGAATATATGCCTAGATCGACCCCTTAGACCACCCCAATGTAGGTAAATATACCAGGACCCTGCTGGCCAGGCTGTTTGGAGACCAAACCTTCACAGGTGGTGAACCGTCTGGGCACCAGGTGGTTGTCACCAGGAAGCACCGGACTGAAGTCGGGTGCTGGTACATGGAATATACATCCCTATGGATCCACATACCTTCTGAGGTACGGTGCTTGGAGACTATTTATGTAGGCGCCAGGAGGGTCCAATGACCTTCTGAGGTACGGTGCCAGTGGATCCATGGGGCATGGAGTGTTTGGGATTGGTTTCGTTTCACCCCCCCCCTTCGGAATCCGATCCCGCGGACTCCGGATCCAAAGGGATCGGACCACGCGGAACCGAGGAGATCCGATCCACGTCCGGGTACATCGGTGCTGCCGTCCGGAGTCGAAGCCGGAGTCGATCTCTTTAGAACAGATGGGACGTCTGACCCCGTCCCAAAAACCAGCACAACGTCTAGCCCCATAGATCGGTATACCGAGGTACGACGTGTACGAGTTCCGGGTCGACGGAACTACCCGGTGGTCTGGTTACCACGGGTGGCGGCGTGGGACGGACCCCCTATGACGTGGGTTTCGTTGGTCCGCAGCATCCAAGTGACCCGAGTTTGGTCCGCCAAACGCCCAGACGCTCCATGGAGAGCCATAGATGAAACGGCCCAAAGTGGTGCTGGGGGGGGTCAATGACAGACATGGAGTGTCTGGGTTGTGGCACTTTGGCATGTGAACATTGAACATCTGTCGTTTGGGACACCCGGCGCCACGGGTTGGTCGTGTTTCCTTTCCCTTCGGCGAGCATACGGGGCGAGCAAGGGGAGGCTGTGGGGGTCAGGGTTCTGTGTGCAACGTAGACCGGGCTTAGACCTCAGCTGTGGCCTGGAAACGTCATGGAAATTGGTCCCCTAGGCCCTAGGCCTCCAAGTACCTTCTGAGAAGGTGGGACTGGGGTGGGTGCCAGGAGGGTCCAGTCAGGAGGTACGACTGGAGGTGTAGGGATCATCAACACACCCGGCCTGTCCACGCACCAGCGTGAGCGCCACCTCAGTCGATGTCACTGGTGCTTATAGGGGCACCTAAGAGAGATCCACGACAGACTGAGGTGCTAACACCCAACGTTGGACAGTGGGAAACCAAACCACCTTTAGAGTTGCCGCTTCGGTCTGTAGGCTTGGGACGGTGCACGAACACCCAGCCAAAAGAAAGCTTTCCGTGCCAGACGAAAACCAGACCCTGTACGTTCTCAACACGCGCTCCAAAACAAGGCAGGTTGCAAAAAAAGGAAACACCCATCAAGTGGTGCTCAGCCATGCTCAGCTTCAGCGTTTTTCCGATCAGGGATGGTTGAGGCCCAAGCACCCAGCAAAAGACGGTCCGAAGGGTTGTAAGATGTTGTAAGGGTCACACTCTTCTTCCCCAAACGAATCCCATCCAACCACATTCTAATTTGATCGCCTGCAGACCAAACAACCCTTGATGTTACAGAAGGGGACACCCTCAGAGTGCGTTTGTCCATCATTACTTGCATATATGCACTGTATTTTACGTTTGACCCAGACGCTCCGTTCACAGCCCGACTGGTCCCCAAGGATTCGGGTCCGACCCCTCCAGAGGATTCGGGTCCAGGGTCGCGTCTGGGTACTAGGACTTCTACCGGTCTCAAACGTCGGACCGGCGCGGTGGCGCTCGGACCCAGGACTGCCCCAGAAAGACCCTCGCACACACCACCCCTGGACTCGGCATCGACTTGGCAGTCCCATGGGTCGCGTCTGGGTACGTGACCGTACTTGAGGACTCGGATGAGGTCACTTAGGTCTGTACAAGGTCACTGGATGAGACTCCAAAGAGGTCACGAACTGAAGGTCCTGGTAGATGTTTGCATTTTTGGAGGGTATTCGGATGGCCTATACCAGGGGACCCACAGGTCCCATCAAAAACTGGGCGAAAACCCGAGCAACCAAACACCGTTTTTGTGAACATCCCATGGTGAACAACAAGGGGCAATTGAGGTCCACGGTACGTGGGCGCCCACCTCGCGTGGCCACGACGAAACGGAGGTCTGATCACATGATCCGACTGGTACCCCTGGAAATTTGGACACCAATCTGACGGGTAGCACTTCCGTAGGCCGGGCTCCAAATACCATCGATCTCGATCTGTTTTTGCTGGGACTAGCTATAGTCGTGCATGGTCTGAGCGAGAAGGTACGGCATCCGGATTCTGAGGTCTTGTACCAGGACCCTCCAACAGGCTGTTTGGAGACCTTAACAGGTGGTTTCTGGGCCTGTTGTCACCAGGAAGCACCTGTGAAGTCGGGTCCATATACATGCATGGGAATCCAACCACGGTTGGGCGCCGCATCTGAACGGAGTTGGGCTACGCGGCGGCGCTTTTTTTCGCCCCTGAAACGAGTCTTCCAAGATGCTGTCGCCAGCCACAGCATCGGCCGGTGGGGAGCCCGGCCGAACGCGTCGCGCGACTCGCGCCCCACGTGCTGGGAGCCGGGGACCGAGCGTGGCACGACATGTGAAAAATCAACAGCCTGGACCCTTTAAAGTATGGGACATGACCCTGTGAAAAGAGGTACGAACTTGGGAAACTGGACCCCCAAAACCACCCCAACTGATCGGCATTATATGGCAGTCCCATGGAGCGTCTGGGAATTGGCATCCGAGTGTGCTGCTCTCAGGTTCATGTGGACCAGACTTCGAGAAGTCCGATTTTATACTGACGGACACGTTTATACTTAGAACTTCGAACCGAATGTTTTCCAAAATGAAAAACAGCACACTTGGAACCCAGGTGTGACTTAGAACCTTTTGGCTGGAAACCCCAGGCTTAGAATCCAAAACTGCAGACTTACTTAGAACCTTTAAGCCTTGAGTCGCGGGTGTTGCAGGGGTAATGCAAAAGCTGAAGACTAGCGCAAGTCCAAGTTATTTTCTCCTGAATTTGTGATGTGAATCGCCATACATTCACAAAAGGATCATCAGCCAACCTTGTGCTTTCGGATGCAAGTCATGCTAATGCCTTTCCAAAGGCTCTATGTGCAGGCCTCTCCAGAGAGGTTACATTTTGGTTCTATATAAGTATACTTATATATATATAAATTCTACCGGGTCGAAAAAGAACAAGTATTTTTCCAACATAGGTTCTAAGTTAAGTCTGTTAGTATATAGAGGACATTTTTACGCGGATCAATTTGGCACCCTTATCGAGAACAAGCAAGCCGACTCTGACCACAATAGCGAAAATCGTTCCTGCTGATGCTAGCTGTCAGCCACGACCTGAGGTGGTCCTGGAAAGCATTGAGAGCTTTACTTCAGCGATCCTTGATAAAATTGAATCACACGATTGGAATCTTCTTTGCCAGGGGCCCCACAAACCTTGCTTTCCCTGGAAAAATAGACATGTGAATTTTTGTATGTGAATAAAACCTTAATTTCATTTTATTTCAAGGTTTTGAGGACCAACAGCATGGTTTCTCAGGTTCCAACGAATGCTTTCTTTGGTTTTTGACGCAGATTTGGTACGGAAAACACGCAATTTACCCAAATCCAAAGAGAAGTTCGTGCCACACTGACACAGCACAAACATTTGCACCTTTCATCAAATGTTTTTCTTCGGCATCTCCCGGTCGTTCGGCAAGTGTTTCTTCGGCATCTTCACGGAGTTGGACTGGATCTGAATCCACGTGAAAGTCAGTGTGAAAGTCCTGGAGCCTCGCTTCGGGCCTGAACCGCCATTGATTGGCACTGCCAAATCCACATAGCAAGCGGTTGCGACTCTGGGACTCATCCAAACTCCTTTCTGCTTGGGCCTGGAGGAGTCCAGGCGACCCCAGCTGACCCCACCGCCAGAATGCCCAGCACATCCCCCAGCGAGATGCCCAGCGTCCGGGAACGAGGGTTCGCGCTCACCCCAAAAGGTGCCAACTTATACAAGTCAGGAACTGATCTCATTTTACTGGAGTTCGTCATACAAAAACAGGTCAAAGAGGTTTGGACCTGGGTCAGACTGGGCTTGTGATAGATTCTGATGCACAGACCTGGACCCAACTTCAAACACCTCTTAGCCAGCAGTCACAGAGCTCGGGGCGCGAGCTATCCATGGAGGTAGGAGTTGGGTGCCCAAGAACATCCACAGCCACTCACTGGATGGGGGACCAAACACCATCCCGACCTGTGACCCCTCCCTGGGGCTCCAACCATATCCTTAGAAGGTGGTTAGACCCCCAAAACCCACCCCAACCACCTTCTCAGGAGGTGGTTGGAGCCCTAGGGACTATTGGGAAAAATCCTTTTGCTGGGTAGCCCAGTGTCCCCAAGTCCTCCAAAAGGTCCCGGCGCAGCCGGAGGACCGGCGGGGCTTCGAAGAAAGCTAAAACATGAGACGGTGCCATGGTCGGGTCCAGTCGCATCTTCGTTTCGGTACGGTGGCAATGGATCCCTATTCTCCCCAGGTCCTATAGGTTTCACTTTGCCAACTTGACCAATACCTCACCAGTTTGTGCTTGCTGCGCGCGCCCCTGGACCCACATTGCTTCAGCGTAATTATAATTGGTCTTACGTCACGATATGCGTTTATACCGGTAAAAATAATGTGTATATGCTTAAGAATTGGAGCAATGTACAATATATTGATTCAATCTAAATATGCCATTCAATGTTAATCATGCTTTAATTTATTATTTGCATTTAATCATTTAAATATGGTTTCATCACTTTGCCGCTTTTCTTCGTTTCGACCTGAGTCGCCGGGCAGATCTCCCAGATCTCCCGTCCTCCAGATCACGGACCCCGTCCCTCCGGTCGCGGGCGTGGCCGGCTGGCCGGCGGCATCCGGTTCCACCAACCCCAAAAAGATCTTCGACTTTGAAGCTTTGCAAACCCTAGGGAACCACAGATCCACCCTCTGAGAACCTCTCTCTCTCTCTGCACTTAGCTTTGCTTCCCGACCTGGCAAACAGCGGTTGGAATTGATATTGTATACCATTGTACCATATCTTAGGTAATCTTGGGTATATCCTATATCTCATGACCAAAGCCAAGTGGATGATGATGGTTAGGTTGCAGGCCTTTCTCAACTAAATAGTGAAAATCTTTTACCGACTGTGACTGGCTTACTGGGACACTCTCGAACCATCCGCTTGCTTCATCAACAACGTGAACCTAACCTACCTATAGCCTAGGCCTCCAATGACCTTCTAAGAAGGTGTTTGGATGTGTTTGGGGTGGGTGCCAGGAGGCTCCAGTCATACCTTCTGCATGAGGAGCTACGAAAACGGAGGTGTAGTGTGGGATACAATAACACGAAAACCGAACCTTCATGAGGTGTTCAGGACCTAAAACTGCGGCTCAAACGCTCAGACTGGAGGTGTCGGGACCGAACTTGTCCCTGCTCTTCGTCCCATCTCCGGACCGCCGGACCGTCTGCCATCTCCGGTCTGCTCGGACTCCACACGGCCGTTGCACGGAGGGCACCTCTGGACGGTCGACCGTTGCCCGGTGGTGTGGGGGGCGTCAGAGCGGCTGGAAGCGCCGGTTTGGCGGGGAAAAGCAGAGGAATCAGCACGTCTATGATAAGCAAAAGCAGCAGGTTTGGCTTGGGCAGGTTTGAAGATTGACGCTCAATGACCACACGAGCCAAGGGTGTGCTTGACCTTGGAGTTATAGTTTCTATACTCAATGAACTGACTTGTCCATGAAACTCTGTGAAAACGTCACGCGGGATGCACCTCATGCTGTGTAGCACCGGGCTCTAGAGACGAAAACACCTTGACCTAGGAGATCCTAGGTCCTAGGACGCACGCAAGCTTGGCAAACTGACTTGGAAGGTTGAAAGTGATAGCAAAAAATATCAGAATCCACCTGTTGCAGCCTAGTCTCCGTGTCTCATTGTAACCCCCCAATAAATATATTCTACTTACCACCCCCATTTTGGAAGACCAGCGCGTGGGATTTTTTTCTCCGCCCAACCCGCTGGGCGCGACGTCTCACTCGGCTGACCGACGTAGGCGGAGGTGCGCCCTCCAGAGGTGAGAAACCTGCGACGACGACGGTGACCGGCGGTGACGACGACGTGTTGATGTGACGTGCCGATGTGTGACGTGCCGATTTGTGGTGCCCGAGATTGGGGGGGCTTACGCTTGTTGCATTGCTTTGGCTGTTGCTTCACACATCGGTTACCCCCATGAGATTTGCATCGGGTCTGTGCCTTTATTCCATTGATGGGAGGACGGCAGGCAAACGGCCCAATAGGATATGATGATCAGATAGGCAGAGCTCAGCTGGGCAGACAAGGACGGTCCGCCACTCAGCTGTTGAAGAAGAAGACGCTTTTGACAGCAGCATTTAGATACCCTAGGGCTCCAAGTACCTCCTCAGAAGGTGTTTGGACCCTCCTGGCACCCACCCCAGTCCCACCGAACCTCAGGTTCGGTACGACTGGAGCCCTAGGGATAGGATGTTTTTGCGGAGCTTAGGTCGCCGAACTAAATGGAATTGGCGAAAACGGTTCAACAGCAATCGAAGAACACATATATGGGCTTTACCATGTTTTACTTCTGGGGTGTCCCTGTTTCTACAAAAATGAATCTGAACGGGACCTAGCCTTCAAAGTGCATTAAAAAAAGAAAAAACAACAACTTGACCTGGTCGTGTAGTGCAAAATCCTTAGCAAAACAATGATTTGTTGGGTCATCAAGTAATGGTTGGGCCTGGAATCCTTCCCACTGGGTGGTCCAAGCACCACATGCGCTGGCAGCGCCTGATTTCACGTCCTTTGCCATCCGTAGACTTGGTGCCTTTACCCTTGGTGGGAAGACGTGATGCCGAACTCCGTGCGCAGCGATAAGATCAATCTACCTTGCCTCAGCCTGTCTCATGTATGATGCATGCACGCCAATCACTAAGGACCCTGCACGAGGTGTGCAGCGGACTCCGGGACCCGAACTCGACGGGTCCCAATTCCAACCAGGTCGTCGAGTCGGCGGGAAGCCCACCCTCAAACGGTTCCAATTCCTGGGCTGGTTGAGGTCGTTGAAGTGGTGGGGTCGTCATGGGTCGTCCAATTCCCTCATATAAATCCACATTCCTTCTCAGCGAAGGTAAGGTTGGACGCTCCATGCCTACCTGAAGCATCCTTTGTAGCACTTATTTCTGGCGACCCATGGTTTGGAGCACTTATTGGAAGTTTGAGCGTTAATTGAGGGTATGTACACTTTTCAGGACATATGAGCGCTTTTTGATGATGTAAATTCTAAAGCCTACTGGTTCCTGACCAGTGTCCTTATCAACCCTTGTGGGCCTTTGGGGGCCCTATGGACCGGGTGGAAATCCTATATGACCTCCTACTAGTAGTATGTGCAAATGAAACCACAAAGGTTTGGTTCCAACCTTCTGGGCGTGCTTTACAACAATTTTTCCAAAAAGGGTGCCCGCAACTTGGGCGCAAATTCCCGCAATCCGGGCGCAAATTCCCGCAACCCGGGCGCAATTTTAAAAAGTGGCGGATTGTTATTTTACTTACTGTAAATATTTTGTTGATACCATTAATACTGATGATCAATCAAAGGGGTTGCTGGCTGCCACTTCGTAGTGTGTGAGCGTGTGTTGTGTGTGCATGGGATGGGTGCCAGCATGTGGCAGGGGAATGGACTTGAAGACCACATAAGGTGAAATGAAGCTACATCTGACTTTCCAGTGGTACGCTTTTTCAAGGCATGAACACTTCTTTTGATGATGTGCAGCTTTTTTTTCTGTCACTTTTTTCTGCTACGACGGAGGGTTCAGGTACATTATAACAGTATCTCACCTTCCCAGAGGGTGGCAGTGGATCCATAGGGATTCCCTTGCGGGAGCGAAAGGAACCACATTCCTGCGACTGCACACGGAGTCGCCCCCGAGTCCAAGCCAAGTCCGAGCTTCCCATCGATAGTGGAAGAGCCAAGTCCTGAGAAGGGAGAAGGATGGAGAAGGGAGCTGCTGAGCTGGAGCTAGATGCTGGATGCACAGGATTCGTGTTATGGAACAAGGCCGATTTGGGGATGGGTCAAAACCTGGAGCTCCAAACACCATGGAGTGAACGACCTTCCAGGTATATCAGGTATAGGTCTTAAGAAATCAATCAAGGTATCTTATAGGTTTGGACCAGTGCACCTGCCATTTCAGAACTCTACTCACATGCCGGTTTCAGATGGATGTTCAAGGATTCCGCACGCTGCATGTGTGCAAAAGCTGATATGGTGCAGCTGTGCCTTGGCGTGATGTCATGCTGTCCCACATCGCTGAAGCATCGCTCCGATTCGGAACGCGAACTGATCGATATGGATCGTTCACGTGATTTTTCAAGACCCCTCACTGTTCGGGAATCGGGTACTAAGAGGTTGGCTAGTTAGCGATGAGACAAGGTGACAGCATTTCACAGACCTCTGTGATGTCCCACATCCTCCAGCACCACCCCATTCGGGTGCATATTGGAACGCACATAGACTTCCTGAGGGGCCGTCTATCAACCATCCGTTTCCTGGCGACTGACCGTTTCCAGGCCACCTCGACCGTTTTGCGGAAAACGTCGACCGCCTTAGAGGACCCAAAAAAAACAAAAAAACAAACAAACCGCTCGATGAATTTCATCACTGGAATCCGCTGTCTGTTGAATGAATTCGGACTGGGAAAAAGACCACGAGGATATACCTGGACCTGAACAATTGTGTGTCCAATAGAGATCCCCAAGTAGTGTAGGGGCTTCCCTGACCCCTTTGAAGGTGCTGGTGGATGATATGACATGATATTACTGGGTGCCATGGGACCACAAAAGGAAGCCGAGATCCACGCACCACAAACTAACCCGGAACATTGATGCAGTGGGTGCAGCATCAATGACTCGTGCAGCATCCAGAGGGTCAAATCGGACTTCGGGGCCTGAAGCACTTGGAGGATCAAGGCGTGACACCCATAGGACTCCCTGAAACCAGCTTGGAAGTGGAGCGAAGGATGCCACCTGGACCAGGTGGTGAGTTTGATATTCGGAAGAGGGTCATCCATTCGAGTCCATGCCACCCACGTAACCGTGCATTGCGGATGGTCACCGGTCCTGGGGAACTTCTTGGCGTCTGTGTTCACTTGGCAGGCCTTCTTCACCACTTGCCTGGTGAGCGAGATCGACCGGTAGGCAGCTCACAAGAGCTTCTGTTTTGTCGGGACACTCCACCGAAAAAAATAAAATGGATCTCAAACCAACCATCTTTATAGTTAAATTCATCCACTTCTCCATACAATAGGACACATCAGCAGTTCCACAACAAACAACGCTAAAATTGAACACCAAAGGGTCCAGTCGGCCAAAAGCACTCCATTGCCTTCCATTGACCCAAAAACAGGCAGCACAAACCGGCAGCATCTTCCCTTCGGATCGCCCCTGCAGCATCGACATGTCACTAGATCCTTGTGGGATAGGGGCTCCAAGAAACCGAGCGTTGCAAGAAGAATCTAGCAGCTAGCAATCTATAGCATTCATCATACTGTCCTGAACTCTGTCTCCCCTTTGCAGCATCAGCTACTCGAGTGGTGGGTTCTAAAGACATGAATTCCCGGCAGCTTTGGCTTGAAGCTTCTTGTCCTTCCCACTGGCTGACCACCAGGAACAAACTATAGCAAAGCAACTATGAGCGCTTATATACACACAAAACGCCTCAGTATATAACAATCCCAAGGGCTCCAACTACCTGCTGAGAAGGTGGTTGGGGTGCGGGTGCCAAGGTCTAAACGGTAAAACATGATTTGCTCACCCCTCATGCTCACAAAGCATGTTACTTTTTTGAGCAATAACAGCAAGCATCCAGCAGTCACAAAGGGGAGCGATCCATGGAGGTCGTCGGGGTGCCCAGAACATCCAATGACTAAACACCACCCCTTTGTGACTCCTGGAACTCCGTCATTCTCTTGCCAAGAATGAGCTGGTTTCCACTTATGGACGCTCATCCCTGCCTCGGCCTCTCGCTCCCGTCGTCGCATCGCTCCAGTGGACTCGTCCCGTTGCCTCAAAGTACGGTGGAGAGCCTTCACCTGGGGCGCACGGAGAGCGGAGAACACCCGGCAACCGGCGACCCGTGGTCTCTACTCGTCGGCTAGACCCATGCGAAGTGTCTGTATAGTCGGATCTGGCAAGCTTGGATCTGTGATCAAAGAGACCTGGGTCGGTCAAGAAAAGATCTTGAACACCATTTCAGGGTCATAAGGGACATAAGGGACCACGGGTACAGGTCTCCAATCTCCAAACGAGAAGGTTCCAAAACTGGTCCCCAAAACTGGCCCATTTTCATCGTCCAAGGGCCTCGATCTGTGTGGCAGAAGGGGTGGGGTAGTGATGTGCACATGGACCAGCTCCCCTGCTGGCGGTAGGGGATCCGCGATTCGGTGTGGTGACCGCAGGATCTGAAGATGTGGTCGGCATGTTTCACCCAAGGGATCACTGACGACCTGTCCAAGGACTGACATCAGACTCTTGATCAGTTAGTTGTGGGTGCAGGTAAAGATATATAGTTAAAGAGTTATGGATGAACATATACATATATATATATATATATGCACGGTAGCCGGAGTTCTCAAGCACAAGGTGGTGAGTGGCGATGGCTCTTCGACGGCAGTGGCACGAGCGACTGACAAATACGAGCGACCTTTCCCTCGATCCCAAAAGCTCACGAATCTATGTTCGATGAGTGTACCTGAAGAAGTGATGTACTTCTTGCATGCCACCTGATCTCATACAACCGTATTGAGAAACACACGAAAACCACCAACCAAAAACCGGAAACGCAAACCTCTACTTGTTGTCGCTCTGTGTGTATTGTGTGCTGCTGCTGGACGTGGATGTATTCTCCAAAGGGTTCTGGCCCTGGGCTTTCCGTCTTCTCGCTGAAGACATTGTAGGGTCTTCCACGATTCTCCAGCACTGATCCATATCGTAGAACAACGAAAGTTGCCTTAGCTCTTTGCCCTTAGTCAAGCCATTTGCAAGTTGTGCTTCACTGTGCACCCACCTTACCTTAAGTTCATTTGTGTTTTGTGCGTCTTTAATGCGCATAAGTGTGATATCCACCCGACGCTCTGCTCCTTTTGGGCTCAAGACTTCGGTTCTGAGTTTATCAAAGACGTTCCGGCTGTCAGTCACTAGACAGCCTGGGATCCTGTTCACCAGCGGATTGGGGTCCTGAATTTTCAAGGGAAATCCCAACATTTCTCCAAGTTGAAATCTACAAAAATAAAGTAAATCTTCGCCATGAACGGCGGCCATAGCTTCACTTGCTCCTGGGCTGGAACATACTCTAGCGATCTTGGAAGATTGCCAGGAAAGCAAGGTAACTGGAACGCATTGACCTGACATCAAGCTCTTGGGGGCTGCACCGATGACGACACCTTGGGTGCTGCCACCGCTAATCCTGTTCTGATTAGCCGCATCCACCCAAGCAACGAGTACTACATTGTTCAAATCAATCTTGTGTATTTTCAATTTCTGTTCTTTCATGTTTCTCACCTGATCCAATAGCCGATTGGCCCGGAACAAGGTGTCCACTGTACTGTGGTTGACCTCGGACAAAAGCAATCCCACATCTGCTGCAAAGTGGGGTGCCACCTGTTGGCTAAACCAGCTGATGCCACCCAATAGACCTCGGAGTTGTGCCTTTTCCAGGTCATCTGTTGCAGCATTTCTTTCTCTCTTTCTTGACGCTCGGATGTTGATAGCGGGAATGGATTCCACATAGTGCTTTTGTGACAGTGAGTAGGAACCATCTTGTTCTTGTTCTATCAAAACTCCACACTGAACAAAGCGCCCTTCTTCCCAATCACTCCAGCGGAACTCCTCCTTGATGGCCTTTTCAATGGCCATCCAGATTTCATCCGTTGGGCTTCCAGAAACAAGAAATCATCTACATGACCTGAAATGACTCCTCGTAGTTTGCCACCTTGGACTAAGGTCCAACAGCATGGGTCACTCCAACATCGGCGTAGGCCCAACTTGTTGAAGAAAGTGCTAATGCTGCGATACCATTCCAGTGGCGCATCGACCAAACCATAACAGGCTTTTCGAACTTTTGATGCACAGAAGGTCATCTGGGTATGGCCTGGACTGTAAAAAAGCTCCAGTCACGTCACCCTTTTTGGTGCTGAAGCCCATTGACGATGCTATTTGTAGTTGCATCTGTCTGGTCTGGCGAGTGGTCGTGGGCGAGTGAGTTGCACGCTCTTCATATTTAGGGTCCTGGAACCCTTGCAAGACTGCTCTCGCTTTTGCTTTCTTGGTGCCATCATCTTTGACTTTCCATGTCAAAATCCAGCGCATGTTCACTGCATCCTCTCGACGAAAGCGATGGTTGGCAGGTAGAGCCTCAAAAGCCTTGGCTGCTAAGAAGTTGGTCACTTCAATGCTCTTTGCCAAATCAAATTGCTTTCTCTCTTCTGGCGTCATTCGTCGTTCAGAAATTTCTACTGCTCTTCTCTTCAGTGCTCCCACGAAAAAGGCGTTCAAATCCTTGAGAGCACGTTCGGTACTGGAGAAGGCATTTCGATCTCAACGTGGTACACCATGTCTTGTGCATCTTTGGTGTTTGCAGCTTCTGAAAAATACGACTCATGAACCAGCTCGGTCCAATGAGGTGCAGCTTGAAAACCTGTGTCTGCCGGTTCAGAAGATCGAGGTATACCTGAGCCGGATGAAGGTCCTGAGGCCACCGGTCTCCATGGAGGACTTCGACTTCGTGGTCGACTTGCAGACACTGGTGCTGGAGGCGCCAGTCGCAATTTCTTCTGACTTCCTGCCACTGGCTCTGAGGGTTGCTGCTTGCCTGACATGCGACAAGAAGGCTGCCACTCATGGAGGGGGTTTCCCGCTCTCCTCCATTCAGCTTCTGTAGGTTGTTCTTGAGCATCCTCATAGTCATTGTTGCCCAGTTCTTCAGCCACGATGGGAAAATCCCAGGTGGGAGTCTCCGTTGGGTCATGAAGCTCTGTAAGGATCACCTCTCGTTCGGATGCATGTCTTAATTGTTCTGGGCAGCACTTTAGAAGACGTCGACCACGGACCAACCAGACTGAACTGCCAGGTCGAAGGTGTCCTTGGTCATCTCGAGATTGTTCCACTGCTAGGACACGAGCTGGACCTACGAAACGGCCTTGGCCAGTCTTGTTTTGCTGGGCATCCTCACCTGTCAGCTGCTTGCGCCAAATGAAGACAAGATCTCCTGCTGAAAAATCCAACACTCTTCGATGCTTCGAGTGGGTGGCTCTTTGAATTCTTTCTGTTGCCACCCAATCCAAAAAGGCTTTTTCTGCTGACAATCGCAGGCGTTGATCTCGCTCCATGGTCTCTGTGGCCATAGGTAACTCTCCTGGAGTTTCCAGATCACGTGCGGGGTTGAAGAAGCGTCCGTGTTCATCGGGTGCTCGACCCAGGACATATTGGACAGGTGTAAAACCACGCACGTTTTCTCTGTGGTTGAGAGTTCGGACAGATTCTGCAAGGATCTGTTCAGCCGTCAGTGCAGGCGATTCTGCAGCTAGACTTGCCATGACATGTTTTATGGCTTGGATACTGCGTTCGCACATGGACAATTTCCAGTGCGCTTCACCGGGAATGAGGTCAAGATAGATCTGGTGTCTATCGCAGTAACTTGCCAGTTCATGGCTGCGGAAAGCTCCATCGGGGTCCAATCTCAAGGTCTGGGGATGTCCGAAATAGGAGACCCAGGCCTCTTGAAAAACTTTCACAAACTGTCCAGCACTGATGTGCTTCTGTTTGCCTTGAAGGATCATGCGTCCGACCCTAAATCGAGAACCCTCGTCCACCATCAAGATGAACTGCCATTTTTCTTTGGTGGCGGGGTGGTACCAGTGCCCCACATCCGCCGCAACAGTCATGAATTTTGGGGGAAGTGGTTCAAGAGAAGCCAGGTTGCGAGGTCGGGGTTTCGACCTCTCTTCACAAACGGGGCATCGAAACGATTGCGCAAGGTCCAACACTTGTTTCGCAACACCTTTTCGTTTCAAAGCCTGGACCATGCTAGGGATAGAACCATGTCCAGTAGCAGAATGCAACAAATACAATCTACGTTTGATGTCCTCTTCACTCAAAGGTTGTCTCAGAACCTGGTCACGTTTGTCCACAGTCAAAACTTCTTGCTGGATCGTTTGTGTGCAATGGCCACAGTTGGTCAAAGACCCATGTTGTTTCACGTGTTCACAAACACACACCGTTCCTAATCCAAAAACCTCACCACCAGTGGGTTTTCCTTTCAACTCCTTCAACCATTGCTCCCGACTCCCACCCCGCAAAATCTCCCGACACGCTCGAAGTGCGAATTCACGTGTGTAATATGCCGTGGATCTAGTTATGCTACCTTCACATGGGGCATGATAGGTGCCAGGTGCACAATGACATGGGAGATGCATGCGTATGGCCAAAGGCTCATGTGTGGTCATCAACTTCCAGCCCTTGGATATGAAATGTTTTTGTGGGTTTCGCAAATTTACCTGACAACCTCGGACAATAGCGAAGTACGGGTCATAGCGTTTGATGAGGTTCTGCAACACGGGAAGACGCCATGCTTGACATGACTGGGACAATTCCCAGACCACGTGTGTACCACGTTGCACACAGTACTGGTATATGATGGCGCACCCCATGTATTGTTTCAAAGCTTGCTTCCGCTTATTTTCCAAGTCAGAGCGTTGCTCAGCAGTGCGTTGATTGATGTTTTGCATCACACTGTACGGACCACATTCAGGGGAGAGCCACACAAGTTCGGGTGCACAAAGATCTATCTTATCTAGGACACCTTTTACGCCTCTACCAGTAGAGATGTCATAGTCATTCCAAATAGACAACCTCTGGGCAGAACTAGCGGACTTGGTGAGCTCCTGCATGGTACTTGTGAGGATGCTATCCACTCCACATGCAACTTCCAGTAATAAGACTTGCTCATTGGCTCCCAACACACGAACAACATGTGAGATCATGTCATCACGTTTGTTTTTCAGCTGTTTCGTTTCCTGAGGTTCTAGGGTTTTGAGCCGTGAGCTAAGGTCTCCGCCTTCAGTCTCTGGGGGCACTGTGGTGGATGATGTCTCAAAGCTAGCACCTATGGTCCCTGCTCTCACTGATTCTCCAGGATCATCTCGAAGCTCTGCTCGCTTGCCTGGCTGGTCTTCTTGCGAGGAGGTTCTTGGCCTGTCTTCAGGCTCTGAACTTGTTCCTTCAGCTCGATCACCGCTTCGGTCAGGTTCTTCAGAACATGTGAGGTCACGCCAGTCATGTTGCTGGAGGCAGCCCCGGATTGCTTCGAGGTCATCGAAGCCGCGGCCTTTGCTCCCTTGGGAGCCTTGATGTAGCCCTTCTCGATCAGAACTTCTCGGGGGATCGGAGGCTGACTTTGGAGCTCTGTGATCTCTGGCTTCTGGGAGTTGTGTTGCTCTTGAATGAGCCACTGGGTCAGGCGTGCCAACCTGGGACAGGTGTTCCTCTCCTCTTGGAAGGTTGTGATCACCCAACTGGCATAGTTGGGCTCTGAGATCTTCACCTCCTGGTAGGAGAGGGCTGCATGAACTCCGAAGCCCACTGGATCGGCTCCCGTGGCCTCGCACTGATCCAACAGGACCTGAGTGGCCTTCTTCTGCAAGATCGGGATGGTCTCGTGACCGCTCATGGGGATTTGCAGCTCGTGACAGAAACTGATCAAATCGCTCTTCTTGCAAGATGCGGCATTCAACTGGGTCATCTTGAGCTGAAGGGGAGTCTTGGCCTTGGACTTGGGATTGGATGTCAGTCCTTGGGCCTCTCGAAGCTCCTCCATTCGAACTAGGCACTCGGTGCGGCTCCAAGACTTGGGAGGCAATTCCCCCAGCCTTGCTAGCTCCTCGATGATATCGGTCTTGGTCATTGGAGAGGACATGATGCTGATGTGTGGAAGGCTCTGGTGGTGCACAAGATGCTTGAGCTGGACAAGTGATGCTGCTGGGTGGTCGATGTTTGTTGTTCGTCGATGTGTCGAGTCTCAATTCGAGGTTTGTGTTCATCACTCTCAAAAACCGGAACACTGAAAACAGGTCCAAAAATACCTTCTCTCCTAATCACATCATTGGTGGGTTGGTCTGAGATCAGGTCTGCCTCTGGGTCCGCTACGCTGCTAAGCCCCTCCCTTTCCTCTGCGGACATGGAGTCAGGGAGGAGTTGTCCCTAGATGTAGTGCTCTAGGCTAGGGACTGGGTTCTTTGCCGTCTTGGCATGCGAGAACCAATCATCACTCAGAGGCAGCAATTGGTGTCCCGTGCAGGAGCGCTCCAAGCTGATCACACGGGTCGGATCAAGCTTCCTGAAAACAAGGAGGTCGTGTTCAAAGTCAATGAGCGCTCCCAGGGATCTCAAAGTTTCAATGGAGAACAAAATAGGGCTATGGCCACGGTCTAAAGTATGAACTTTTAGCTCACCTCCGCGGCCACTGGCCTGAACGCTCAGCCACGCCGTCGACATACACTTGTCGCTGGACGAGTTCCCAAACCCAAACGTTGGCCTCAAGGTGTGGTCAATTCGGGTCACACCATCATGGCCAGTCTTCGATTGGTTGAGTTCCATGAGCTTCTCAACCGCAGAAACAGATCCTAAGGTGCGGGTGGCGCCACCGTCCAAAATGGCCATACCTTTGGATACAGCTTCTTGGGTGGTCAAACCGCCGGATGCGACATGGGCGGAGTCCAAATCCGTCGCACTGCAAACAAATGGTGCACTCTCGGAAGTCTGGGCTTCACTGACACTTGCGGTCTGATTGAGTGCTCGTTTTGGGCACTGTGCCACTTTGTGGCCCAGCACACCACAATTCAAACACTTGATGGAAGCTAACGAAGCAGCAGGTCGGTTGGAAAAAGATGGCTTCACACTGATTCGATCAGTCTTGTAGTACTGGCGGCTCATCTTGACCTGATGCTGTTTGGCCCTAGCTTCACGCAGTGTTTTGCGTCCATGGTCCATCATGGCGAGGGCCTCATTGGCATCCTGTTCAGCTTCTTCCATGATTGACAGGCCTTCATCGTTGAGGCCTGAGTTCACGAGGCAGGACAGGTCTGGGCCCTGGCGGTCCACACAAGAAGCTTCTTCAAGCTCATCACATTCGTCCACGGTCCAAGCGGTGCTCTTGCCAGACTGGTCCTTGTGCTTCAGATCTTGATCAGGCCACTGATTGCGTAGTTCGTGCGCAACCCGCTCAACTGAAAAATCATCTTTCAGTGCTGTGAGGATCAGATTCTTCTCCTGAGCATCAAGACCTGCGTCTTGCAATAAAAACCACCCTTGGACATAGGTGGGAATCAACTCCGTGATCTCCTTCTCCCACGCGGGCTCCTGCCCGCTGGTGTTCCATGGCCTCGTCCACGCTGAGTCACTCCAGTTGTTGGAATGAGAATTTCCCCAGGAACCACTATTCCAATCAGGCGCTCCCCACGAATCATAGTGCTCCCATGATTCTGCTGCGTCATGAAAGGACTGCTCCTCTTCTTCCTCATTCTCCGGTGGCAGTGACCCCCCGGACATTCCCGCTGTATGGTCAGAATGGCCTCCATGTAGTTGTTGCCAACCATTCCAGGTGTGTTGTGAGGTGGCACCTCCGGTTCTTGGGCCAACCTCACGTCCATAGCGGCCTGACACACGGTGCAGTGTTTGGCATGCTCGAGCATAGATCTCCCCCTTTCGTGTGATGTAGTCATTCATCGACTCATGTCGTTTGCGGCGTGATTGCTTGAAGTACTTCCCCAAGTACTCCGACATCTCGGTCAGCTGAGGTTGCCCCAAATGCTTTCTCAGATGATCTAAGAGACGTTGCACGCCTCCTGCATAGGAAATCCAGCCGGGCTTCATAGACATCACAAATCGACGTGCGGTGCCTGTCAATTCTGATTGAAGGCGAGGTCCACATAAATATCTTTTGTGATGTGCCACACTCTGCTCCCAGTGTTGTGCCAGTTCCGAATACTCCTGAAAGGTGGCAGCATTGCCATCCCAAATAGGAACACCTTCTTTGGTGCGTTCCACTTGCAACAAACCCCGGTCCACCATGGTTCTGCAGCGGCCCTATGCGGTTGCAGACTAAACAAATGCCCTGGATCGATCAGGCGGCGGAGCCCGCAGGCTCCGCTACCATGCACGGTAGCCGGAGTTCTCAAGCACAAAGTGGTGAGTGGCGATGGCTCTTCGACGGCAGTGGCACGAGCGACTGACAAATACGAGCGACCTTTCCCTCGATCCCAAAAGCTCACGAATCTATGTTCGATGAGTGTACCTGAAGAAGTGATGTACTTCTTGCATATATATATATATGTAAACAGTCTCATGGACTATCTGGGTAAATGCAAACTACATCAGAACCCTGTGAAGAACAGTTGAGTAGCTTTTGGAGAGGCAACTAATGGTCCAAAATCCCACATGGAGGACTGACTGCCCTTTGAGAACACAACGCGATTGCAAAGATGGAAAAACCACGATGCAAATTGACCGCGAAAAGATGCTCAAGAAGTTGGACCCAAATAGCACCTTCCCACTTTCAGACCCTCCTTCCAGCAGATCTGACTGGAAGACGGTTTTACGGTTTTGGTTTCTGAGCCTCCAATCTTCCAGATGTTCCAAAATCATCCCCATAAAGATTGGAAGATTCGGAGTTCCGGTTCCTCGCGAACTCGAAGTCAGACGAACTTGTACATGACAACGAGCTTCCCGGCGGCGTTGGGCGACAAGTTCTTCGCCACGTCCTGCGTCCGGCGCTTCGACGCGGACAGCAACGCGAATTCAGCGAGCGGGGTTTCGGAGTAGGGGGTTATAGAGGTTGTTATTTTTTTGTTTACGGGGGTGATGACAAAGTGATGTTTGAATGGGGTGATGACAAAGTAGCGGCCCATGAGTTTTAAGAGAAATCACAAGAACATCAACCACGATGTCAGGTGATCCAGACCAGTAATGGAATCTGCGAACATTTAGGCCAACCAGGAGTTTCAAAGGGGTGCTTAATGGAGGGGGTGCCTATTACCCACTCACTTAGGGACAAAACACCACCCCTTTGTGACCCCTAAAACTCTGTCATTTTCTTGCCAAGCACCATTCCCCAGGGCACCTGAGGGTGAACTGCAGCTTGGTAAAGCCTCAGGGTGAACCCCGGCTGCGGCGCACAAAAAGGCGTGCGCTGTGTGGTCGCCCAGCACGCTGGAAGCCCCAAGCGAGTTTTGGCTTGGGGTCCTTGAAACATGCTGTCCACAAGTTGATACACGCTTGAAAACTCCAGTGTTTCTCTTCATTCCACGCATATTCATGCCAACCCCCACACACACTAGACTGACCTATCACGAGCTCCGTGAACGGGTCCAACTCTGGAGCCCCGGATTCCACCATTGGCCGCTGTAAACAGATCGTGTTTGGTCGGTAGAGTGTGCCATGACCCACGACTCATGGGACCCAGACACGACTCATGGGACTGCCAGGACGGACTGCCGCCCCAGAAAGACCCGCCTGGCACCACCACCACAATGATTTGGCAGTCCCATGGAGTGTCTGGGTATGGCATCTTTGCATACATTGGGGTGGTTGAAAAGGGGCCTAGCTCCTGGTAGACTCCAAAAAGGGAGGACTCTGCGAGGGCTCGAGGCTTCCCGCCGAGGACTCTATCGGATGGATTTTGATGGTATTTGTTTCATGTTCCCGGGCGGGGGCATGCTTCGGAGTGTGCTTCGCCCAAGTCGAACATACTGACTCTCCGAAAACTGGGTACATTAAAAAGTACAAACCCAGATGGTTCCATCTTCATCTGCAAATCGCAACAAACAATGCCTTTGACACATGGAGCGCTTAGCAAGGATCAACTGGGCTAGTTTCTGATCGTTTTGTGTTTTGGGTTGTCTGCTCCAATTTCACTAAGGCGTCAACCATCCTCAATGGAGGGGATTGGCGTATGGCCGTGTAGCCATTTCCTTCCCAGTGCATCAAATCCAACAAAAAATAGCACCCACATGCGCTTGTCATCTTCAGAAGTGCAAAGACACTCCCAAGAATGACTACCATGACCCTCCCAGTACAAGAAACTCCTGTTTGTTACTACGGGTGATGTCCCGTTGTTGTTTAGGGTACTTGAAGTCGAGTCCAAATATTATCTGGTCAGTGACGGTCAGTGTCACAAAGACACACACACACATGTACATGTAGAAATGGCACAAATACTCCCTTAAAAAAAGGAAAAACCACCACAACAACAACAACTGCTGCTGCTGCTACTACTCCCTTCAATCCTCCCGGCGTTCTGGTCTGGGCGACCAACACTTCATCTGCGACCCAATTTCCAACCTGACGGGGCACACAACTTGGCAGCTCCAAGCATTCCCAGACATCCAAGATGATGCAGGTCATCCAGTGGCAACATTGCAATAGAACTCAAAGATTAAACGAGTTGAGTTTCACCAGAGAACTCTTATCTAAGACTATCTAAGTATCCATCTAGTCAATGCTTTTGATGGCAACTTTACAAATCAATTCAAACAAACAAAGTCACCAACCGAACCTGGTTGCTAGTCGACATGCAAAAAAAAACTCCAATACACCTCTCAACACCAAAACAGTCCAAGCACTACTGAAAAGCAGGCAGTTTCGTCGTCTCAGATTTCCTGCTCAAACTGAAACTGTCTTGGGTGCGTTCTCCATGTCACCGTGAAGCTGTTGCAGGACACCCCTCTCTCCCTCCCTCTGGGGCAAAAATGTGCAGCAGTTCAGAATGAAACAAACTCCGTGGAAGGCACGTCCATGCATCAAGTCAGATCCTTGCATCATCTTACATCCCAGATTTGCTGTTCTTTTTGACAAGAAGATCGCTGAACCCAAAGCTCCGGACTCCCCGAGCTCCGGACGCCCGCGGCGAAGCTCTGATCCAAGAGCACCGCCTCCGGTGGTTCACGTCGTCAACCGCCACGCGGCAACTCGTCACGGTGGAGGGTGGGAGGGGGGTTGGGTGGGTGGGTTTCACACCGAAAATCGGGGTTAACATCTTGAAGTGTGAAAGCAACCCACCAACCCCCTCCCACCGGTAGGTTCACATCTCGGTAGGTTGGTGGGAGTCTTACCATTGGAGTCTTGATGACGCTTGATGCTGCTTGGGTTGGAGATCATAATGCTTCGATCGATACGTCGTTGGGTTAACATCACAACTCTGCAAGAAGTCTTTGGCCGATTGAACATCCAGGTAGTAATTGCAATGGTACGTTTCGACTTGAGCTGTAGGAACAGCCATGGCTTCGTGAGCTCGCATCACATGACCTGCTTGCGAAACGACCTATCGGACCTATCATCACTCATCAGGCAACTGCACTGCCTATTGAAGCCACATGTGACAGCCACATGTGACAGGAGCAAAGGAACAACGGGCCGAAGAGATGCGACACTTTGTACGTGTATACGTAGTAACAAGTGCATCGCTACGAGTAGCAAGTGCATCGCTACTAGAAACAAGATGAAACAAGAAGCTACTAGCTTCTTAAACTACCTCGAGACAAAGCCAAATCTCACACTTCTTAAGCGGCCCGCATCTCAGAAAATTCCTCTGATCGCTGCATGGCCTCCCCGCTTGTGATGGCTGCGCCCAGTGAGCGCATTAGCCCATCGTCTCACTGTCATCCACTTGGCACAAAGTGGGTTGGCCTCAAACGCTCCATCACCAGATTGGCCGGTGACCTCTCTGTGCTTGTACTGCTCCCCACACCCGCTCACTCAGCGGTGCTCATCAAGTGCTCATCAAACGACGGCGACGATCGCCCAAAGTCGGCGCCAAAGCTCGCAGAAATCGTCGTGAAGCTTGACACCTTGCAAGCTTACTGGCTCAAGGAACACGCGTCTGACCCAACCACTCAAATCCATTAAAGCAGGTAATTACAACGTCATCCCGAACTCCGAAATGAGGCGACTTGACCGACTCTAACGGGTCGACTTCTACCGGTCACTTCACCACGAAGACCGAGGACAGCCGTCCGTCCGAGTTTTCGCCCCAAAACCGAAACGGCTCCTGGACGGCCCGTTGCGGGTTGCGTGTGGGTTGCGATCGGAAGGGGCCCCACACTTCCAAGCTACCTCCGAAACGGTGAAGGTATGACTGGACGTACCTCCCTGGCACCCGGGCCCCGGTCGTCCCACCGAACCGGTTAGCGGTTCCGTGCGACGAAACGAGGCATCTGCGTTCGATGCGGCGCCCCGTGGCAAGGTCGTTCAGACCCTGACCGCCCGAGGTCGTTCACGCCGTCATACGCCGTCCCTCCAACACCGAGACGTGGCTCGACCCCAGGGCGCCCGTAGACCTGACTGGTGCGACGAAAGTAGGGAACGAGGGTGGCTGGATCCCAATAGAATCATATAGAATCTCTATAGATCTAGGGGGCGAAACTTCTTCCCTTCTTCCCTACTTTCGTCGCACCAGTCAGTGACACGAGTCGGTCGAAACGGACCAAGTGGACCCTTCCGGGTGGACGAGTTGACATGAATTCCTTCGAGTTCGCGGTCGTCGGAACCTCGGACACGAAGGGACACATGAAATGGGCGTATCCCAGGACCATTGGACCTTCCGAACTGGAGGGTGACCTGAAGGTTCCGCAGGGGAAACTGGACCCGAAGCAAACCTTCACCGGCTGAGGGTCCTCGATTCTTAGGGTTATATATATTATTTGGTATTCTTCAAGGATCTGCGGTTGTGTCTGCCCAATCGGTTTCAAACCAAACGCCTTCCACGACCTGCAGGGGTTCTGACGACCGAAACATGGCGTGTCTGGCGTTGTGTTTTGGTTGGGGCCAGATCAGTGATTCAGTGGGGAGTCCCCGGAGTGTCCTCAAGAATAAAGGGTTATGATGGTTATGTAAAGTCTCAGTTCGTACCTCGGAAAATGGGTACGGTCGTACCTATTTTTTATGGGGTCATGTCCCATTTTCTAAGGTACTGGGTCAGTCGGGTCCGGGTAAAGACATGCACTTTTCCTGGGTAGGTGACTGTATTGGGAAGGTACTCTGGTCACAGAAATCCGATTGATTCCTGCTCCATGCCGCTGCGCTGGGCGAGTGAAACATGGTCAGGGAAAGAACGACCACCCATGCAGCACATGGTCAGCGGCGAAGCGGCAAAGCTGATAACGCATGTGGCATGAGCACTACGATACAGTATAACTATATACTTGCAGCCCTACTTACAGGTGTATATTGGCCTGTTGCAAGACAAACAGGCAGCGTCGTCATGCTGCACTGTGTGGTGCTAGCAGAGCCTGCAGCTAGCAGAGTCTTGCGACAAGAAAATGCACTCGCGCAGGAATCCCCAGAGGCATTTGGCATCAGTATCTAGAAAGAAACACAAAACCCTTTTGCCAACAAAAAACACTTCTCATATGCGCAAACAAGTCGGCCACGAACCCTCTAAGAACTCCCTTCCTGAATGCATAAGACAGCCAATTTCAAACTGCGCCACACGGGTCAATTCAAAAGCTCTCACGCATCACCACTCATATACAACCTGGCACTGCACCTGTGAATTGAACACATAAAACATCATAAAACGATCACGCATCACCAATGGCCTTGCCTCCATGCACCCCGAGTTGGTTGTGACTTGCCGTCTGCAAGGCAGCAGCCATGCAGCCGAGCTCCAACACACGCCCAGTGAGTGTCATCCACTTGGCACAAAGTGGGGCCTCAAACGCCTGGACCACAGTGAACGCGAACGGGAAGAAACGAACCAGGCAGTCTTCCGGAGGGGCAGCCCCACACCTGGTCAGCGGTCTGACAAGTGCTCATCAAATGACGCATCTTATCGCCGATTTGGCGCCGTTTGGCGCACCGCTGCATCTCAGTTCCGAGTGAAAGCCAATGCAGTTGCTGACGATAACTGGATGTCGCAAACAAGCAGGGGTCTTGCCTTCAGCCAGGAAATTTTATTGACCACTCAAGTAGGACAAGCTCAAACATCAAAAGAGATCAATACAGCAAAGGTGTCAGAAACAATGACATACACTGCATGTATGCCATACCAGATATATGCCCCCCAATGTAGGCATATATGGCATGCATGGAGTCCATGGGAATGACTTCAAGCAAAGGTTCCTCTTTTGAGCACAGGAACTGCGATCGTTGCCAGCAACATCTGGCAAACATGATTCACTATAGTGAAGAGACAGGGCTCAAAACCGTCTTAGTGAACTCTATCTATCTATCCATCTATCTACCTATCTATCTGTCTGTCTGTCTATCTATCTACATATCTATCTATATGCGGATGAGGAGAGGAGTATTGATAGCTTGTCCCATGCCCTACAGGGTGGACAGGAATCAATGTGGAACTTTCAATGTAGACCAGCAAAGTCTTGCCTTCACAACGGAAACTGTCTCTTTGTTACATGAATTATGCAACATGCCGGCCGAATACGCACACAGCAGGAATCAGGACAGGCTATTGAAAAAGAAGGAATGGTTCAAAGTCAAATCTCTGCATCTTTTCCAGTCGCTTTTAGGGTAGTACGTGGTAGTATCACTCACACCAAAACATGACTCATGCCACTTCAATGCGCAAATGTGAGAGACTGAAGGAACCGCACTCATCGAGAAAAACCTGCACTCACCTGCACTGCAAAAGCACGATCACGCATCGCCAGTGGCATGGCCTTCCCTCCATGCACCCCGAGTTGGTTGAGGGACGCCATAAGCGGGCTCTTGCGAAACTTTCGCTTTACACCAACAGGCGCCCAGTGAGCACATTAGCCC